ATTCTATTAACAGGCGGTTAAGCGTCCGGTTTTTCTTTGCAACAAGTTGTTGCAGTGCATGTTGGGCGAACAAACCAATGCTAAAGTGTAACTTAAACTTTGATCAAAACTTTCACTAGCTATTGATGAATATCGATGAAGCATGATGACGGAAATAATGTTTCATCTTGCAATGATTGCTCGCTGTCCAAGCAGATTGGATTCTTTCATTAGACATCTGCACCGTAAAATCGTTTGAAATTAATAGTCAAAGTTGTCCAAACCGGCAGAATTTAACTTATTGTATATCTTTACCAGTTATAACTGTAGTCAAAGTAGAATGTTTTAAATTTATTTTAAATTTATTTAAACATTTGTTTCTATTATGCCTTAAAAAAACTGACAGGTAGGTAGAACGTTTTTAGGAGGAAAAAGGTCGTCTCAACCAAACTCCCCGATGTGCCCTCCTCTCTCACTCCCTTCCTGATTTGAATGAAGATTAGTGCAATGCTAGTCTGTGCATAATAAATAGATTGCATTATTTTGCTATATAAATAACTGTTTCGCGGGTTATGTATATACTAYGTTCTTGCTCAATTCATTGTTCAAATTGATGACCAATTGGAAAGATTATGAATTTATGAATTAAGGAAAAGAGCTTGAACTTCAAAMTTACAGGAACTATTATTGGTCATAATTAATTACTACCATTTCCTCATTGGTTTTTTAATATGCTCTAGTTTGATGGTAGGTAAATTCCTTCACTTAAATTCGTCCTTTCATGTCGCTTTTGGAATTCACTGATGTACTCGGATTTCAATAATCTGCAGTGGCTAAAAAAATAAGCAACCAGCTCTCACAACTAACCCAGTTCAACTTATGGTGCACCACGTATTTGTGATGAGCAATAATATTAGAACTTTGAATCAACGCAACTTTATCCAGGATTTAGCTATAGAATCAAGAGAGGCAATGTTCTTTGTTTTTCGATACCTACAATATAATGTGTGAATAAACAAAGCATGATAATGCCTGTACAATCCGCCGATCATCATTGAACGGTAAAGCTTTGGGAAGCCTTAAAGTTTTTAAATGTTTCCTAAACTCTTCCAAACCTCTTATGTAAGCCGCGACTTTGAAGCACTGCAGATTATTATGCTTATTTTTTGCTTTTGTTTTTGTCGCTAGACTTATGGAGGCATTTTCCTGGTTTATCAAACAACATTGATATCTTTTTTCAATGATGAAAAATTTACGGATTTGTTGCTGCAGTTGGAACCAAGAATCTAGAAGGTCAAAGGCAACGTACCTTTTGRAATTTTCAACGGGCTTTGAAGTTTTTTTAGCTTGAACGTGACAAGGGATTCAAAGCTCAATTCATGGCACTGATTGGAGTCATAAAGGTTGCCGCTTCGCAACAACAAGAATATGACGAGGCTTATCAGAATGGGCAATCAAATAGATCAACTAGGGTTCAATTCAAATCGCTTGAGGAATTTGTTTGCTGAAGAACATAGATGATATACTTGCCTGGTAAAATAGTTTGAATAAGATTAGACAATCTGTCCTCTGCTTCTCTCCTATCCTTGAAAAGGTCGAGTATCAATGAAACTTGATTCCCCTTTGCTCTAAAAACACGGTTGCTAAGTGAAAATCACTTGAGTGCAACAG